CAAACAATTTATAGAAAAATATGTTTAATTTATAAATATTGAGATCTCCAAATATATTACCTATTGAAATGTATGTTAAAAAATCTAATGGAAAATTAATTTCCATACAAGGAGTATAATCGAATTGTACTAATAACCGAATAAATTACTTCTTAGATAGTTCAATTTAATGTACAAATTGCCAAATATTAATATCGATTCACTTATGTAAACACAAAAGTTACACCGCCAAAAATAATAAAAATATTCCGTTTACGTAACGCCCCGGCATTCGTTTTTACTGACTTGTGTACGTCGTTAAAAATCGATTATTAAGTTGTAAAGAGCCTACAACAAACGAGTATAGCCAAGACGCTGGCGCTTTATTCGAGATATTTCCTTACAGAACAATAGTGATGTGCCGAGTTAGGCTCATTGGAGTCAAATAAACGCCTATTAAGATATCTGTAATCCAGAAATATAGAATTTACCCGATAATGTAATCGAATATACGATACCAGAACCTCGTTTTGTATATATAGAAAAATCTATATCTTTTCTTAATAATCGTTGTTATTTAAGTTTATTATATCGACCACATCAGTAGTAACTCTGGTGCAAAATGCATTTATTGGAGCCCCGCTCATAACGTTAGTACTAAAGTTATAGCTTGATCGTTTTCTTACCTAACGTAATATTTGATTATTACTACTACAGGTCAGCCACTTCAGCTAAAGTTGCCGGAGTAAACGTAAACATTAAGGTATTTTTGGACATTACAATTTTTCAACGCCCCGAAGCTCTTTTGTTTATAATAGATACTACTTGGACAAATTGCTTGCTATTCAAGTTTAGTCGATCTTTTATTAAATTATTACTCCTCCTGAAAACTTTTACGATTAAGACTTAATGTTAGTGAATATCATTTGAAAAGGACCAAGTTAGCATCGTTTAACATAAAAAATAGTAACGGTTTTATGTATCTAATGTAATATAATTATTAATATATTTTTTAATATTAATAGACTTAGAGTTTTGATTAAATCTCAGGCATTTATAAATACATTTGTCAGATATTTAAAAATATATATATATTCAAGCGCAAACATATGAAATTGTGTGTTAATTCATACGCAGCATTAGTATTTTACAAATGTAAGTCCGCTATAAGAAATGGCTTAGTATTAATCCTCTTTCAGTTGAATTGCGAACCACCACTGCCATATTTCCTTTGTGTAATTGTCGGGATTAAATATTAACGATGGTTTCTCCTTTTATTTATTATACGGAATTGTTCAAAGAAGGATAGATGTTTACGACGAAGCGACTATGACAAATTGCGTTATTGACTAAAACGTTGGAAAATACAAAAGATTATTCTTACTCTTTGAGCTTTGCATATTTTTTAAATATTCTTTTGTTATTATTCCACAGATTGAAATTTTCAGTTCTAAAATTCAAATTGATCAGTTCATACGCTAAAACTTATTTCACATTATATATAAAGTCGCATTTATGTGACTTAATAACATTTGATTAATTAATCTACCTATCCATATATACACACTAGATCCTTAGCAAAAGGCCCGAAAGCAGCAAATCACAGTCTTCATATAGGACTTTTAGTTCCTTGATATTCATTATTGTTTTTTGGTTGGTCGTTGGTATATTTTCATAGTTTCTTATATTACCATCTGCTAATGCGTGACCTATCTGATAGTAACAGCTAAATCTTAATCTCAACGGCTTGTCAATTCTTCTACTTTTTGGTTTTGAATATCACAATTGTCACATCATTTTTGCGTCGTAAAAGGTTTCATTCTTTCAATTCTTTGCTTAGATCTTTTAACCCACTGGCAACGTCCACTCATTTATTGCCAAAAAGTATCAAAAATTGTTAATAATAAGTCTCCTAATGGCTTAGTTAATTATACTGATCATTATTTTGGTTTTGTTTATCTTTACAGAAGGAGAACATACAGCGTTTTGAAACAACGAATGCACGATGTCACTGAAATGATGTCAAATCAATATGGATATTATTACTCGAGTCAAAAGTGGAAAATGCGGTATATACATATTGTTGATTGCTATCCATATTCCGATACTGCAAGGAGAAGAACAATCAACTTGTCCAACATTAGCAGAAAATCCGATTTGTCCCTGCTATAACTTTAAAGAAGGTAGATATTCTATATTTATAACGAAAACAATGTACGTAATAATAATACAATTTTCTATAACCGTCAATTTTATTTCAGGACTGTTTTTGGAATGCCCTAGTGCAACTCCTGGGGTTGTGAAAAATGTATTATCAAAAATCAAAGGATCGATACAATCATTATCAATTTACGATCTCGAAAGTTCGACAACTGAACTCAAAGTAGAACTATTTCCATCTAATATAAAAATAAATAATTTACAAATTTCACAATCTAATATAAATAAAATTAGCCCAAACGCATTTGTCTCACTCCGTGAGTCATTAGGGTCCTTGAGCATAATTTCCAGTAAATTAGGTAGGATTCCTGAAGAATCCTTTCTTGAACTACACAATGTAGAATCACTCGATTTACAACTCAATGACATCAAAGATATTCAAGCTAATACATTTAGAAATCTTAAACTCAAAAAACTCAATTTAAAAGGAAATAAAATAGTTAATATATCTGAAAATGCATTTAAAAATTTAGATAATTCTTTGGTTGATTTAGATATTACAGAAAACTTTCTAAATGTCTTCCCTTTACAAGCTCTTGGGAAATTAAAACAATTAAATAACCTACGACTAGCGTGGAATAAAATTAATTCAATACCAGAAAAAACAAATATTACCATAGATAATTTGATGACGTTAGATTTAAGTTCCAATTTGTTTACAGAAATAAAGAAAAATTGGTTTCGATGCACACCCAAGATTAAGACTCTAACATTTTTTAGTAATCATATAAAGAAAATAGATGAAGAAGCCTTTTATTCATTGCATTATTTAGAAACTATAGACCTGAGTCGCAACAAGATTATTAATATTGATAAAAATATATTTCAGAAGAATCCGAAGATTCGGACTGTAGATCTTAGTCACAATCACCTACATTACATCAAGGGTGTATTTTCAAATTTGATACATCTTTCTGAAATATTTTTATCAGAAAATAATATTCTAGAAATACCAGAAGATACATTTATTAATGCGGTAGCATTAACTGTTCTAAATTTGGAACATAATGCAATACAGATACTGCATCCGAATTGTTTTTCTTCGTTACAAAATTTAACACAACTGCATATGGGAACAAATTTTTTAAAAACACTTCCTCCAAAAATATTCCACTCTAATTATAAGCTAGTTACGTTAAGTTTAGATAATAATAAAATTAACGAATTAGATGAATTTATGTTTGATAAACTCAGCGAATTAAGAGAGTTGCGCTTACAAAATAATAATTTGAGTCATATTAAGAGAAATGTATTTACTCCATTACCAGGTCTCTTAGAATTACATTTGCAAAATAACATTATTCAGAGCATAGACTCCCACGCTTTTATAACGCTTAAAAGTCTTCAACATATTAATTTACAAGGTAATCGTCTATCGACAATTGGAGATATATTTCCAAATCGAAACTCTTCTCTTGTGTCCATACAATTAAGTTCTAATTTCTTGTCTTTATTAAAAAATAGTTCTCTAAGAGGACAAGTAAATGTGCAAATAATGTGGCTCAGCCAAAATAATATTAAAGTGTTAAGTCTTAACTTATTCAATGATTTGTTAAATATTCAAAGGTTGTATTTAAAGAATAATACAATTGTACATATAGAAAATAAGACGTTTATGCATCTAAAACGGTTAAAATTTTTAGATATAAGTAATAATAAACTTATAAAATTAAGTAATGAAACCTTTTACAAACTTGTAACGTTGGAAGAACTGTATTTACAGGGCAATAATATTAATCAAATTGCCAAAGATGCATTTAATTTTTTAATTAAATTGAAGGTTCTGGATTTGTCACAAAATGAAATTATAGTTTTAGATTTTGATATTTCGTCACTACCAATTAGACAGCTTCGATTGACCAAAAACTCAATATCGATCATCGAAGCAGACTCACTCAAAAACTTGCCGAATTTAAGTGATTTAGAAATGAACAATAATTTACTTACTTGGGATGACGTTACACAAGTTCAAATACCAGGATTAAAATCTCTAGCTTTGTCTAAAAATAATTTTACCATATTGGAAAATAAGACATTTTCTCACCTACCGTCGTTGCAAGCGCTTTCGCTGGAATTGTCAAACATATCTCATCTTCCACCGGCAACATTCATCAAAAACCAAAATCTACTACGAATTAATTTGGCATTCAACAATTTGAAAGACATACACAAAGACGTGTTTGCATATACAACAATACTCCAAGAGTTAAATTTGAAGGGGAACAATTTTACAGAATTTCCTCATGTTGCTTTGTTTAACATAACATCATTAGAAACATTAGATTTATGTAATAATCAGCTACGAAGCATTGATTTTTTTAAGTTTATTGGGTTACAAAACTTAAGGTCATTAAATTTATGTGATAACCATATTTCAGTTCTAAATGGGTTCAATTCTCCTGCTTTAAAGAATCTTGTAACTTTAAATTTAAATAGAAATATGTTAACAGTTCTTCCACCCAATTTTTTCCAACATTCAGTAGGCTTAAAAGAAATAGATTTAGCTCACAATGTTTTTAAAAATATACCGAGCAATGGTTTGTCAGAAACAGTACTATCAACATTGAGTACATTAAACATGTCATTTAATTCCTTGACACAGTTACTACAAAGCTATCCAAGTAAACAGTTCCCACAATTAGAAGAGCTAGTTGTAACTGGTACAAACCTTACAATAATCACTAGTAGAGATTTCGAAAACTTTCCGTCTCTCAAAAGACTGATATTGACGAGAAACTCAATTGTACGTCTGTCGCCTGGTGCATTTTCAAAGCTGCACAATTTATATATACTGGATTTAAGCCAAAACCAAATGGAAAACATTCCAAGAGAGAGACTGCAAGGATTATACTCGACACGTTTATTGAATATATCTCAGAATATCATTAGAGAACTTGAAGAATTCACATCAGATTTGCAGAGTTTGCAAAAGTTAGACCTTTCTTTCAATCATATAACGAGAATAAACAAAGATATATTTCGAGGATTGCAAAGTCTTACTGAATTATATTTGCGTGGTAATTGGCTATCAGCAATATCATCAGAGGCATTTCAAAGCTTAAACAAAATCTCATTAATAGACTTAAGTCACAACTACTTCGAAGTCATTCAACTAAAAATGCTTTTAGTTCTGGAAACTCAAATCAAAAGCTTAGCATTTGACGGTATGTTTATATTTAACATAATTCCTTTTAATTTAGTTGAAGAGATACTCCCTACTTTTAATAATAATAATTCCTTTCAGAAAACCCACTCACCTGCAATTGCGAGTCTCAAAACGTATGGAAATGGATGCAAGATCATTATAAAATTATATTGAAACGTAGCAGAAATTTACGTTGTGAACATCCAGAAGATCTTCGTGGTTACAGTTTCATTTTGTTACCATCGCAGAAACTATGCGATGTGCCTCTTATAAGCCGCATCGCTATACAAGACATCCAAACATATTCTGTAGTCGTCTCTTGGCAGGGTCGCAACCAAAGTGGCTTAAGCGGGTATCAAGTGGCTTACTTCAGTGAACAAAACCCTGGCATCGTAAGTATCACGTTACGTACATCATTATTCTTCATTTTCTTTTCGTCGCGAAAGGGTCGATTCAGAATATTGCTTCCCATGAGTAATTTTTACACACCTTCATAAATTACACCTTATAATGTTTTGGGTAAACTTGTATAATAAAACGAGCTCAGCTTCCATTACAACAAACATTTGAATACAAAGGCTGTGCATCACTTCAATGGACCATAAAAAATATTTATGCTTCTTTCCCGTGGATGTCGGGTTGTGCATAGTGTATCCTTTTAAATCACACTTTTGAACAACGTTCGCTCATGCAACTCTTTCACAATTCAATACAAAGATAACATGAAAATTTATTGCCCTTTTTAAATAGCCTTCTCTTTTTTATAGTATTTGAATATCGTTACAGGCACCAATATTTAAATGAATTTAAATAAAACGTTAAATTTATCTTAACATAAAAATGTAAATGATTGATGCTATTAAAAAACCTTCAGTGAACATGAAACACAGACTTAGTTCAATAGAGAAACACAATGTGTATAGATGTTTTATATATGAATTTGAAAGATTAAAAAAAAGTAATATATCAATGCAAGTCAAGAGGCCTATTAGAAAAATAAAAGCACCTAAATTGAGGAATTAAATTTTTTCTACAATATTAAATTAGATAGTAATTTCAATCTAATAACAATACGTAGAGTGTATTAACATCATTGTATTAACATCATTATCATGAATAAAATATGAGTATTTTAAGTAAGTAAATGAAAGAAATAAAAGATTATAAAAAAAAATCAGTGAACTTGAAACATAGACTTAGTTCAATAGAGAAACAATATGTATCGATTTTTTACATATGAATTTGAAAGATTAAACAAAGTATTATATTAATGCAACTTTTATTTAATAGGCCTCTTAAGGCCTATTAAATAAAAGCACCTAAATTGAGGAATTTTATTTTTCTACCATAATAAATTAGATCTTAATTTCAATCTAATACGAGTAACGTTAGGGTATTGATATCATTGAATTTGATCATGACGAAAATATATATTTTAAGTAAGCAGTTTTTTTTTATATTGCTTTTATATTTCAAAATAAGTAAAAAGAAAATAAATCAATCAGTTAGATTCAATAAATTACTGTAAAACCGAATGGTTTCACAAGTTACTCGTTATCATTATAATTTCTGACTAATATAGTATGTACTAATATAGTATAGTACTAATATAGTATTGACCCATTACTAGTGTAGAAATGGGTCAATTGATATAAAAAACAAATTAAGACGGTAATATTTTATGTGTTATTAACGAACGAATTGTTACGCTACATTGTTACAGATACGAGGTAAAACATTAAATGCTAATATCAGGTCTACTAGACTGAATCATCTAACACCTGGTTCACGATATTCAATTTGCGTGTTAGCGACAGGAAACTTGGGTATGACTTCCTCAACGGGATCTTCATTGCCGGATGCAAGAATAGCACCATATCCAGAAATGCCAACTAACAGTATTTTCGGTGACGAGCTCATTCTAAACCATCTAAGATCATATATGAATGATTCTATTACGAGTAAATGTACCACTGTGAGTACTATAGAAATTTTTAGTGCCGCAATAGACAGTCCATTCTCGAATACTTACATGGGAATAGCTGATATGTTAACACGGAGGTTGAGCCTGGTCGTGGGTTGTTGTATCGGTTTTATAGTATTCATCGTTTTAGTATCAGCTTTGGGCTATATTAAAACAAAGAAGCGCCCTGTTATAGCAAAAGCAGAAGTGCAACAAGCGCCTCAATATATATCGTACGACAACTTTAATACTCCAGGGATCGAAGTTCAAACAACTGATATGGATATTAACACCATTACAGATAAAACAAAATGTCAATCGAATCGAGAGTGAGCAAGGATCGTAACACTTATCTAACTTGTATCAAGTTAAGCTATTGAGGCGTATGCAAACGTTAGGGCGTCGGATTTTTTCCAATTTGATTCCCTTATGAATAGCAACGCCTCTCGTGTTGGAAAAACCTTATGGTTTCGCCTTCCTTGAAACTTCTTTGGAAGTTTGACAGACAGGAATGAGTTATTATAACTACGAGCTATCAATAACAAAATGTGTGATATAATCGAAAAACTTTTACGTTTAGCTATTTCACTGAAACGGATCGTTTGAATTTATCGCAATTACTCTGTGTATTTTGTAAAAAATGAACCATTGTAAATTTTAGTGTAAAATAATTATTTGAAATATTTTTAATTCATATGTTACTTCAACTGTGGGTTTGAAAAACCCCAAAAATACTTTGAGTACACGAGAAAATGAAAAAAAAAAGTTAAAATTGTTATTATTTAATTATTTTGTTATCGACATCGTTGTCATACTATAACATAGAAATATATTTATTATAAAGTTGTTTTGAATATAAAACTTAATGAATGTTTACTATTAATTGTTTTTTTTTATCTAAAATGTGATTATTAATGTTAGTCATTATTAAATTTACAGTGATCATAAGTTATCTTGTTTTATGCACATTTCAGTCTTACTGACTTAGTAGATTTGAATGTAAAAAATAGTAATTGATTTGATATATACAATATACAAAAGATATTTATATTCTGGAAAAGGAAAAATATGTAACGACTATAGATGTAGGTAATGAATAACATTAACGAAAATATCAGTCATTTAGAATTATAATCGTACGTACTTTAAGTTGATATAAGTTTGGACTCATGACAATCTGTTTAAAACTAGATTAAATTATGTAGTATTGGTAATAAAAGATAAACTCTTACAATATACAAAAGACTTTCTTATTATATTTAACCTCTTTGACAGTGTTATTTTTAACTATACAAATGTGCTGGCATGAAATAATAAGTCTTCGTTTAGGCGGACGTACCCCTTGTTTGTATTATGCGTATTATGCATATAAATTATGTTTATTTACGCCTTAAAATGATTGCATTTTGAGAAATATTTCAGGGTGTCGCCATCTTGGAGGTTCCGGGTTCAACTCTAAAAAAGGACTGATCTATATTATCTCGGGTCTAGGTGTTGTGGTACCTTCGTTATCTCAGATACTCCAGAATCCTGGGTTGCGGTTACTCTTATTGGAATCTGAACAATAAATGTGATCTTTTTTAATATTTTATTAAAAAAGATATTAAAAAAGATAAATGTGATCTTTTTTAATATTTTATTAAAAAAGATCACATTTATTGATCTATATACAAACATTTAAATATTTATAATATAGAAAAATACTCGTTAACTCATTGATTAGAGCATACATCTGGATTGTGAAAGGTTGTGAAATCAAATTCAATCTCAGGCACCTTGGATTGTTAAATTTTTTTAAATATTTTTATAATTTAATGAATTATTTAATTTAATAAAATTGTATTCACAATAGTATATTGAATACTATTGTGAATATAAAATTTATCAAATAAAATAACAAAAAAAATATATATATATCAAAAATGATTATCAGTTACTATATTTTCGGCGTGCGTGCCTATTTTTATGGTTTATTTCAAAAACATTTCCAACAATAGTTAACACGGAATTAGGTAAAATATATACGGGAGGAGGAAATATGATTTATTTCAAATACCAATAGGTTTAAATAAATGTATGCTAATATCAGTTTAATTCCATGAAGGGAAAACAGTGGCCTTATAGTGAAATTTTAAAATCTTTCACAATCACTTTGAATTTGACATTTAAAAGATATTCACGAACTTCACGCTACAACTATCTGACAACGTTTTTTTTTAAAGATATTGAATAAATAAAAGATATTAAGCGATATTCAGAATGTCTAAATAAAGTGATAATTACAAATATCTTTCAAAGCTATTGGAAAATGTCAAACTAAATGAATTGTCAATGACATTAATATCATTCAAATTATCATTCATTCCAAAAGCGATTGTGACTCACTTTCAAATTTACATAGTTCCATAAATCAGTATATCAAAAAAGATTATGATAGATTAAAATTAGACAATAAGGCCAAAGGTTTTCATTAAAACCTTTTTAATTAGAAACAATTAAAAATTACAAAAATTATTCATTTGAAAAAAAATTTACAAGAAACTTAAATATAATAACTGATCTCACCAATCAAGTCTTTGGAAATCATTAAACGAAGACTTTGTCACTAATTAAAATAAATATCTATAAAACTTGTTTTCGATTACAAGTGTACATAAACTCGATGTGTACCGCACTCGCGAAGTGTTGATTGACCCACACCACAAACTGTCACATTTTATCATTAGAAACATATTAAACTCAAGCGTTACACTAAACCTCCAACTCTTGCCGCCATGGTCGAAGGTAATTTGACTAAACTAAAATATACCATCCATATTTACATTTTATCTCTAGGTTGACAGTTAACAGCTATCCGCAAGTAAAACGGGGTTAAGTGTGGTAAGTATAATAGGTATAATAGGTATAAGTAATTTAATGAGTGGTGTAAATTTATTTATAATAATAGAAAACAGGTAAATTGCGTGTGGGACTCACGCACGAAGGTTATTATATATTAAATAAGGTTGTAGTACCTTCATTGTCTCAGATACTCCATAATACAGGGGCTTTAACTACTCATCTTGTCTAATATTTATTTGTTTATTTATACTATTATCTATTAATAACGCAATAAAATCACGTTTATTTTATGGGAGCCCCTTTAAATATTTATTTTATATTTTTTAATATTAGTTGTCATGGCGGTTACAGTAAAAAATTTAACTGACTTACTATAACGTTTCATGAGATAAACCTGGTGTTTGACGTGATAGACAGACTAGAATAGTGTCCCAATTAGGGTTGCTGAACTCTAAAAATATAACAATATTCGAATATTTCTGCATCTTATATTCAGGGTAGTTTATGGAATATTCTTGTTTATGAATATCAATCTCCGAGATTAGAGAGAAGTCATACTATTGATCTGAGTTAATTATTTTTACTGTAATTTCGGGACTAAGTCTTTACCTACTGAGTGCGAGTTAAACATAAGCTTTAAATGTCTTATATAAAAGCTTCGTCAAAAGTCATTGACCCTTTCAAAAACAATGTCAATACAAAGCAGGCTACGTTTATGTCCCCTTGTACAGTGCTATTAGATGGATTAAATGAATTATTCAAAATCAACATCCTCGATCTACGTTCGGAATATATCTGCCGCTTTTACATTTACAAGTCGATACAGTGATTCTAGAAATCATATAAATAAGGTTTTTACTAGGTAACTAATTTCGTTTAGGGTTGACCGTTATTACAGCACAAAAAAAGTAAAAAAAAGTTAACGTGTGTCATAGAGATGAAAAAATATGATGGCGTATTGAGCGATATTATTATTCAAAAATATTTTTAAACCTATTATGATTATGTAAATTTAATTTCACTTCTAGCCTATGGTTATCCAAACGTCTCCCAATTATCGCTAAAAAGGAATACAACTATGAGAAGAAAAATAAAAAGGTATATTTATTAGCTTTCAAATTTTTGTGTAGTGGTTAAGCTCAAGTTATTACTTTTACTCAATTAATAATTTATATTTAAGTGTGTTATGATCGATCAGAGTTCATTTGTTTTATAATTTAATGGCGCAGTGTCCAGCACGTTTAGTAGTAGAAGTACTAGTAATGGAAAATTTATCATTCCGAGCTGCTGCCCCCTGCTTGCTTCAGAAAATGCCGTATGCTCCCAAGAGCATCTGGTTTTTTTTCCTGCTGAGTCTGCAGGCTTTGGTTCCTGCTGAGTCTGCAGGCTAATAACAATAAATCGATTTTAAATTAATTTTGACTACCATTGATACAATATTATCATACATATTCCAAATAATTTGTGTATTTATTTCTAGATTCGTATTCGTAAGTAAAGCCTAGATTCGTATTGTTATCAAATTTCGTACATTGTCTCGCTTTAGTACTGTGCACTTAGCTTAGATCCGTTTTGTTATACAAAATATTAATAAAATTATTGGAATAACTTGAATTTTATCGTTACGAAAATAATCCTTTTTCCATTCGATTAAACATTCTACTGAAAAACGATAAACCAATCATACGGAAAATATAAAAAGTAACTAGCCTGATTGAGTTTCTGAAAAATTCCAAGAGTTACTTTATTGAATTAATACAACATAATATTATCAATAAAATATAAAAGTAAGTAATTTGATGAAAACAGAAAAACTATTTAAAATAAAATGTCATGGATACTAAAATAATATCCGTTTTAAAAAGTCCTTAAAACAAAAACATGTTGATTTAGTATCCGTTCTAACACTCAACTGAAAGCAAATCGATGAAGAAGGCTAAGAACTATTACCTACCTTTAAAAAATAAGCAACTAATTACTGATCCGATACTGTACTCTCAATATTGACATTTGATTATGTCGTAGGCTGTTTCGTTATCTTATCGCTTCTTTTGCTCTTACTTATGTACTTTTAATGTCACTGAAATGGATAGAGCACGATGAAGTTGACGAAATATTGGTAATAGATTTTAAAAGCTTTATGAGTACTCCTGTAGTAGTCTAAATTCTGAAGTATATAAATTTGTGATAGTTTTTTTCAGTTATTATTTGTACCAATATTTTTGTCTCATAGCTTTCAATTGTAAGATTCAATGAAGAACTCAAGGTCTTTAACTCGGTCAAGGGACTCATCAAACGATTTTATCGGTTCAGTGTTAAAAATAATAATTTTAAGCCTATATTGCAATAATTAGTTCATTATCTCACAGAGCAATATTTTGCCTTTGAATTGGACAACATCGATACAACATAGTTTGGTTACAAATTAAACGTTTAAAGCAAAAACAAAATTATTCGGTTACCAGAACACTTTAGCTTGTAGGATTGTTTGC